TTGAGAGAAGATAAAGAATAGATGCATTCACGCCAATGTGAACTATATTGAGCCATATCATTTAAAGCCTCTAACCACCGCTTACGATTGTCTTGAGGACCACAACCGGGTAGTCTACACCTACTAACATGGCCCAGCTCACTTGTCACGGACTTCACGGAATAATATTATGTTTTGGTAAGGACACCACTAGCTTTCTTCCAACCTGCCCCTATGTCAGACGAAACCGCTTGTCGAGGTATTCGGTGGTTGGGCGTATGTATTATATATTCCAACCCCCTTAACTGACCAAAACTCAATACTTCATTAATTCATCGGTCATCCTTACCTAGTAACCTTTTCCCAAACCCAGCATTGCTTAATTGATGATCCCAGGATGTACGACCGATGCTCCAAATACACCTATGATTGAATACTGAACAGTGAAAAACAAGCGATCCCCAGCCACGTAGGTTTCTTCCGTGAGCAGTCCCTCACGTGGCAGCAGTCAGGAAAAGCACAATCGTAAAACTATGTACGTTCCTAGCAGGGAAAATAATCAATAACTCAGAATATCACAGTATCTGTGATTACTATTACTATTACGAATACTTGTAACCTATCAATATCATCTCTTCTTAGTGGCCACGTTTTACTCTGGTGTAATAGAACGAAACGAAATGTTGAGCAGTAAATTTTTATTTTGGTCAGCAAACAGATATTCCGCCTTCATCATAGGAAATGCGAGTTAGCAAAAGCAAGTCGAGCCTCCTGTATCCGTGCCAGATTTCGTTCGACACCAGACCATAAATACTGGGGAAATGGCCAAGACAAATGGAGCAGTTGACACGTTCAACTGCTCAACGACCAGTAGTGCTTGAGTAAAAGACTGTACAAGGTTAATGTATTTCTACCGTACACCTGTCATTGATAGACACTGCCAAAGTACATTACGATCAACAGAGTCAAGGAATTCAAATATTGCTGTCTGATTGTGTGACTGTGTTATGTGACCAGACGAATTATGTATATTTGGTCTGCACATACACGTCCAGGTCTGAAACCAGCCTGGTTTATTCGAGTTTACTCTTCATGGGCTATAGTTAGGCATTAAAGTATCACTGAAGCTAATATTTAAGACATTATTTTGTTCAAACTGATTTATCTGTGATTGTCACAAGAAGACGTTTGTCCTATCTTATAGACTGGGACAGTTAGTGATTGAAACCAATCAGATGGGATAACCATCAGTTCCCAGATTCTAGCTAACGTCCCAGTAAATCTGAATGCTAAAACTAGACCACCATTCGTAAAAATCTCAGGAGTTAAGCCATCAGTTCCCGCTGACCTCTTAATGGCTTTGGAATGCCTATAGATTTTCCAACCTCATTAAGAGTTGGAGGATTCACATCAACTTGCCATTCAGGTTCACTGGAAATCGTGTATAACTGAAGAGTAGCCTAAGGCCAGTTGAACTGTTCCCTAAAGAGTTCTACACATTTGTTCAATCCCCTAGATTGAGAATGAATAATAGTTCCATCCTCTTCCAAGAGTCTAGATAACAGACGGATTTCTAATAACAGTTTCTTTGACGATCCTGAACAGTTGTCTACTGTTACCTATTGCCCCTGCCTTTTCTATCTCTTTTGCTTGCGCTGCGCGCCACTGCTCATGACCATTATGTGCGTAAGGAGATGTCTAACATTTTTGCGATCGAACTCTTCTAACAACTAACGTTGTCAGAAGACAATATTGCTGCAGATGCGAAACATCTTACTCTTATCACTTGCCTGGAATGGCACGACCTGAAGGAACGTGTGTTACAACCGATATAGCTTGGTTGGGTCATCAAGATAGGTAAGCCCAACCACCTCGTCAAGTTAACAGATATGGTCAGGTACGATCAATAAAGGGTAAGGAATAGCAATAATTATGATCTGCTTTGCAAACACCTCTCCTGCCAAACTGATAAACGACCTTCTTGGATCCACGTGCGTAAGGCATATTTTTCAAAAGGAATAAGTAATAAGTAAGATTCAATAGAGAAAGATTTTGTCTTCATTCTGGTTTTAGAATGATGAATACCGTGAAGGAGCTTGGGAATCTCTAATCCAGACTTTGGTTAAGAAATTTTATAAGAACCCGTTATATAACACTAATTCTTTAAAGTTAGTAAAAGCGCTCAACTATTCATGATTAATTAACTAACTGACCTCACATTGCAGTTTAGCATTATAGCTTAGTAAATTTTTCTCGTAAGTTGCGAGTTTCATAGGTAAGATGAATATCACTTGACACTGGTCGTCGAACTATAACATCTCAGTTCTTTAGGTTATCAGTTCAGCAAAGGTACGATCAGATTGTTTCATAGAAGTTATGAACGAAATCAATATTCAATATCACTATTCTGTTCTATTCTTTTTCAATTTAACTGATTTTCAGTAAGGGTTAAAACACTTTCTCAGTTAAAGCATACTTTATCAGAAAGAAATAAGAGAAACTGGAGAGGGGTATTGTTGAACAGAACAAATCAGTGTTTCGAACAAGCTGAACTGTTGACAACAGTCAATACCAACTAGAGTTGACTTAGCAATCAAATCAACAAAAATGAAAAGTAAGCATTCAATACAGAAATGGGTACAACAACTATTCTTTAGTACGACTTACTTTCCAAGTTTCTGAATTGTAAACTGCTAAGTCAATTGGTTTGACACCACTAAGACATTCATGATTAATATCCGCTCCAGACATCGGTAAAAAGTTAACCAAACACGTTAATTTGCAGATGCATAGTGTAATACTTTTTTCCCGAAATCATCAATAAACTTTATATTCATTCAATCAGTGACATGAAATTATGAATAATCTTTATGAAAAATTGGATTTTGGCCTGCTAAAGTTAGTCTACATTATTTTTCACTAGCTTTGTCTGATTTTCAACCATCTTATAATTGTTTTCGTCTTGGCTGTTTTTGATCACTTTTAATAATAACGTGTAAACGTTCTTCAATATGGGCTTCTTTACAGATAGTTTATAATCGAAAACAGTTTTAATGTTGATAAAGTTATAAAACTATTCCACAACTCTGCATTTAATTCTATCTTGAGATATTCGAGAAAATAATATTTTACTTATTGTTGAAATCTTTTTTAATTCACTCACCTCTACTTTATAAACACTACTGTTTTCAGTAATAACCTCTTATTTATCTTAAGTGGTTACTGATTTGCAAGATTGTAAATTTTTCATTCATTCAGCTTTGTTACACTCATCATTATACGTTTAACGTTAATTACATATCCTGTTTATCACTAAATTACCGCAGCAATTCGGTTACAAGTTTAAACATATTTGACAATTATTACAAACTCAAATAATATGTTAAATTAATCTATTAAAATAGGTCTAATGTAAAAGTAGTTTTCTTCTGGTATATAAGCAATTTTATTGGCTTTCAGGTGCAATAATCATTATCTTAATTAATTAATCTTCGTGTCGGCCTTTTCAAATTTACTTCTAATGATATGCATAGTTTTTGTCTTATCGCGATAATTGACCACTTCAAACCATGTGAATCGACAGATTACATTCTATTTCTACGTGATCATTAAGAAAATTAATTTCTGTTTTTATCTCTATATCTATTAACAGCCAGTGGTATCATATGACGCCTGTATAGAATTGATATGCCGTCTATAATTTTATGCTACACGATAATGAGTCCGTCTGAGAGAAATATTTCTTAAAATAAAATTCGAATAAAAAGATACGAATGTTGACATTCCGTCAGAATGTTCAATGCTGGGTTCATTTTAACTGATCAGATTACGACTATGCTCACTAAGTGGACAGGTAGAAAATTATTAGAGGCAATAAAATGTTTATTCCAAAACACAAGGTAACCGATCCTTGTATATTAAACATCTATATTCGTATCTTTACATTTCTTTCTATCAATAGGGTCGCTAATCATAATAACCATGGTGATAATGTCAGTCCAATACTTACACCATGAACTCAGTTACATTTTCTTGATTCGTTCTGCAAAAAAATAAAAGTTTCCATAAGCTTATTGTGCCGACGTAAAGACTTATTGCTATTGAGAGGAATAACAAGATGTTATGTATTAGCTTTTCATTTTTATGTATGAAGCATTTCTGAAAATTTTTCGTCCATTAGATGCAAGAGTACTGTATATAAGAGCATACCTTTTGC